AGGTTTTATTTCAAATCAGAAACTGTTGTCATAAAAAAACACACACATTTTCAGACTTCTTTCTTTGCTGTTTGGCTCCAGTTCCTTTGTTCAGGCCTCATCGTGAAACATGTTAAAAGCGCTGCTCTCAGGGCTTGTAGCCAATGAGAAACGGAAATTTTAAAGAATCATGAAAAATGTTCCTTCTTCTTTAAAATTATATATTTTTCTTCATAACCTACATGACCATTTCACCATGGCCATGTTTCAAAAATATAAAATTATAAAAGATGAAGGGGGAGTGTAAACAGAGCGAACACACAAGCATGACTGATGCAGCACAGACTGATTGGTCGTTTCTGACTGGTGTGTATTTCTGCAGATGGCGGTAGGACCACAAAAAGGAGCCAAAGGAGCTCATTTTTTTCACAAATTTTCTGTTTCATTCTAGATGTGGTGACGGTTTTAACAAATCTGAAAAAATATATATGTATTTTATAAGAGTTTCCTACTGATGCTTTAATGCACCGTCTTCCATAAAAAAAGAAACAGAAAGTAGAATAATAATAATAATAATAATAAATGCTATGCATTATGACATTGTACAGATATTTGTCAGTTTTAATAGTGGGAGTAAACAACTTCCTGATCTGAACATGTGATGAATATGATTATAAAACAACATGGATGTTATTTAAAAGGCAAAGTAACACCATGGTGCAAACTATATCTAGCAGTGTCATAATACACCATGTGTCCAGATGAAACCGGAGCAGTGTGTGAAACTGAATGAGCACTGTCAGTTTTCTCAGGCGTGTATTTACATATATATAAAAAAAAATATATATATATATATATATATATATTTTTTTCCCCCCCTAGGGTTTGGTTCATCTATGGTTTCTTCTTATTTCCTCCTAGGCACGGTTTTGGTTTCTGGAACAATTTCCTGCCCTGTTTTGAATATTTAAAATTTGAAATGATTCCTGCTGTTTGAAGACCAGGGAAACTAAGAGAGCAACAGTTTAGATGAATCAGTTTGCAGCAGAGCAGCAAGAAAAGATCTAATTCACTGAGGGACATAAGGAAACAGCTGTAAGTTTTAATCTCATTAATACTTTGGTTATTTTTTATTATTAATATCATGACTAATATTATGTCAGCATGACATGATATTATGCTGACACAGCAGGAAGGTTTGCTCTCTCTGTCTTCATCTCTCTGCTCTCATTGTTTCTCTGTCCAGTGGAGGGAGAGCTGCAGCTTTTCACTGTTTAAATGTTCTTCATCCAACAGAGACAAACTGCTGGAGGAAAATAATTCATCTGACAGCAAAGATGCAGTGGAGTCTGATTCTGCTCTTCCTGATGGGTAAGTTGATCTGAAACACAACTAGACTCTCTGGTTTCTGTCAAAATACAGATTCAACTTCATCATAAAGAAAATAGAATGAGAACACTCAAGAAAAGCCTTTTTAAACCAAGTTATTCTACACACCCTGGTGGATGTGTTAGTTTTTAGTAACACATGCAGAATTACATTTTATGTCCGTAGGTGAATGTTGCTTCATGGACTGTCAGCTCTATCAGTTTCACTACATTAATTTGGAAAAGACCTGGACTGAAGCTCAGCAGTACTGCAGAGAGAAACACACTGACCTGGTCACAGTGACTAACATGAAGGACATGAAGAGACTCATCAACATCTCAGCAAAGGTTAAGAGTGAAGCTTGGATTGGTCTGACCAGTAAACCAGAATTTATCAGAACATGGTTCTGGTCTCTGTCTGGAGTGGGGTTCAATGAAAGTGAGACCAAATGGAAAACAGGAGAACCATCTGATAATGAAATTGAGAACTGTGGGTATTTGATTGAAACTCCCAAATGGGGAGATGTGAGTTGCTGTACTACAAGATATTTCCTCTGTTACAAAGGTGAGAATCCATGACTGATTTACTTGCTATTTTTTTTCTCTACATAACCACATAGTTTCTTTAGACACTTTGTTTTAGATTCTAAATGAAATAAAGAAGCTTAGAAGGAATTTATGTGTGATGTGAATTTACCTAATTACTTCACAGAAACCAACACAACCCACAAATATCACTTGATTAAAAAGAGGAAGTCCTGGCAGGAAGCTCAGAGTTACTGCAGAGAGAAACACACAGACCTGATCAGTGGAAAGAAGCAGATAGAGGATGAAGAAGTGAAGAAAGTGATGGAGTCTACTAGCAGTAAATCATTCATTGGTCTGTTCAGAGACACCTGGAGGTGGTCAGACGGAAGCAGTTTCTCTTTCAGACACTGGAACAATGACTTTAAAAATGTAGAACACATCAGAGATCAATGTGCCGTTGCTGTATTTTATGGTAAAGGCAGATGGAAGAATGTGAACTGTGCTGAAAGAAAACCCTTCATCTGTTATGATGGTGAGTTTTTGCTGAAATAGTACGTCTTTAAATCTAAGTGAATATGTAGGAAGAAATAAAGGAGCTTTATTATACTGTTGAAGTCTTTCTGTCATATAAATACTAAATCTATTAAAAAATTGTCACATCTACACATAAATTGCATAAGACATGTAGAAATATGAAACATTTCAGACCTTTTAAATTGTTCAAGGCTCTGTGTCTTGAGATAAATGAAGTTGTAGTTGCACTGATGTAGTGTTTTTATTGCTTTTGATGCAGATAACGTGATCCTGATCAAAGAAAATAAAACCTGGGAGGACGCCTTGACCTACTGCAGAGATCATCACCATGACCTGGTCACCATCACCAACATGGATGATCAGATATGGATCCAGGAGAAAGTCAAGAACGCATCGACTCCTTTTGTCTGGATTGGTCTGTGTTATGCCTGGACTCTTCATTTCTGGTTCTGGGTCAGTGACGAGGTGGTCAGGTATGAGAACTGGGCCTCATGTCCAAAGATGAACGACTGTGATGTGTCTGGAGCCATGGAAACGAGAGGAGGACATAAGTGGTTGGAAAAAGAAGACAGTGAGACGTTTAATTTCATCTGTTCTAAATACTGAAACAGTTTATCCGTTTCTTGCTGTTTTGCTCTAAGTTACTTTTGAATTCTCACAAACACATTTTGGACTATATATTACATAATGACCCTGAATGTAACGCGCATGGGTCATTAAAATGTATCCAATGCCAATTTAATAGCAATTTATTTTACCACAGTGTGATACAAAGTTGTAGCCCACTGTGTTGAGAAACAAATCATCCCTCTATAGGCTGCTCTGTCAGAACCAGCCAATCAGAGCAGAGGGGAGGGTCTTAGCTAGAGGTTGCTCAGACTGATCACATCAAAAATATTTGTCACATCATAATTTGACCCATCAATCTTTAAATTATACTAATGATATTAACAGGTTATTCAGTTGCATTCAATTTTATTTGGGTTAATTAATATTCAAGGAGAGAATCCAGATCCCGTCAACACATCCAGCAGATGAACACATTTTCTCTACAGAGACAAAACGTGTGACCCAAATAATTACTACATATTGTTGTTCACGATAATTTGTAGTTATTATAATTTGTAATAATGATTTTGTAATAATATGTAGTTATTAATAATCATTTTATCTACCTAAATTATGATCGCTTCACCCGTTGTGGTCTGAACTTGCAGCCTCACAACTTCCTGCTATTCCACATGTGGAGGGGAAATCTGTGCTGGAGTTTAGATCGGGGTTTTGTCGACACAGTCTGCAAAATCATTGTGTCTGAGCCAGATCCAACCTAACTGATTAACTTTTTAGTCAGCCCTTGGTCCAAGGCTTAATTACACCCGACATAATATTTTAATTAAAATTTTACAGATGTTGATTTTAGATCACCATTTGAGTTCACAGTGTAGCTTCTCTTCTTTTTAGCTTCAGCTCAATGTCTTCCATGTGTGGAGAATTAAACGTTCTCCATGCTGAGTTCTTGATGTATGAGGTTACAGAAGAGTCAGTGAGTTGAATTCATGAATTCCATTTATTAATTCCAAAATACAGCTGGTCCGTTATGACCTGCTACCTTTAAGAGCTAACAGACGAAAATGCCCCCTCCCCACCAGAAGAGGTTGTGATCTCCTTTGTTAGCCTCTACCTAAGTTACGACTCAGAGGGCGTTCCTTAGCTCCTAGCATCCTGTAATCTTATATTTGAGGGTGTTTCCTAACACACCATTTCTTGTAGCTTTAGCTTAGCAACTAGCTAACAGAGTTAGAAGGAAAACACAGAATTAATTATTTATTCTCAACAAACGTCAGCAGAGCCTTCCACTTGAATGCTCAAGCTAGCAAGCATGGCCAGCAGATAAGCAGTTTTCCCGCAACGGTGAAATTATTTCTACATCATTAGCAGGTTTAGCAGCATGTACACGAAGTTGATTGATATCGCTAATGTGTTTTCCTTCTCGTCAACTGTAAAGCCTAGCCAGCCTCCGCCATTTTTCTTTTGACTGCCATAATCTTCTCCATCTCTTCTCGACTCTGTACACCAGTGTACACTGAGTACGCTACTTCTTCTACTACACTGTTGATTAGTTAGAGCACTGCTGCCATCTAGTGACTGGAGGATGTTTGACAGGAAGAAAAATGTAATTAAGAACTTTCATTATTCTGACAGTGGCAGGCAGATGCTCTTCAATCAGTAGGTCACTGGTTTGATTCCCACTTCTTGCATTCTTGGGCATAAAGACCGGATGGTGCAATAAAGCAACCTCACTTTTGTCAGACTGGCAAAAACAAACAAAAAAAAAAAAAAAAAGAACTAGCTGTGTAATAATACACCATCTGTGCAGCTCAGACCTCACCGGTAACATGAAATACTGAACAAAGACTTTTGGTTTTATGAAGAGCGTGTTTGCATATGTTACATGAAAATGTTGGGTGTTTTTCCCCGTCTGCTTGCCGAAGTTGTTTCATCTACTTGTTTATGCTTGTGTGTATGAATGGTCTTCTTGTGAGAAAAGTCCCCATCCTGCTTTGAATATTGAAATTATGAAACGAGAAAATTCAGTTCTCGTTCAGAAATGCAGAAAACCAGAATACACACGGCTTTCCTGAGAGAGTTTTCAGCAGAGGATCAAGAGAAGAGCGTCACAGTTACTGAGGAAGAAAAAGAGGAAGCAGACGTAAGTTTCAGCTCCCTGAAATTAATGTTACTAATACTTAGAGACTTTTTTTTTATTTTTAATATTTGAAAATGTTTTTTTTTCTGTCTCTCTGTCTGTCTTCATCTCTCTGTTCTCATTGTTTCTCTATCCAGTGGAGGGAGAGCTGCAGCTTTTCACTGTTTAAATGTTCTTCATCCAACAGAGACAAACTGCTGGAGGTAAATAATTCATCTGACAGCAAAGATGCAGTGGAGTCTGATTCTGCTCTTCCTGATGGGTAAGTTGATCTGAAACACAACTAGACTCTCTGGTTTCTGTCACATTACAGTCAGTAGGATGTTGAGGAG